AAAATCGAGCAGTTCCACTGATTTTTTCTAAACAGAAACTTTTTAGAGGCCCAAAGTCCATACAAACATAAGTTGCCTCCATCGATTGGACAGCTATCCTCCGAAAAATTGCCAATAACACGTCCCTGAAAGTCGAATAGGCATCCAAAGGAGAGTAAAAACACAGCACATGATAAGGTTGTTGTTTTTTTTTCGGGAAATTGAATACGGAAGTCAATAAGTACAACAGAAGGGGGTGGGGAGGAGCTGGGTTAACTAATCAGTTTCCTTTACAGCATGAAAGGCGTAGTTCACGGCTAACGAGGATGTCCAACGCCATCTGTCAGCCACAGGATTGAATGACATGCCCAAAAGCTGCCTCGGTTGAAGATTATCTGCGAAATGAAAAAGAAAGAACATCTTCTAACATCGATCAAACGGGTCCACGCGCAACAGTAACGTCCAACCGGAAACTGATGTTATTCGAAAACGGAAGGTTGCCTGCCCATACACACAAAAAAACATGGTTAATCGTTTCGGATTGGGATCAAAATTATAACGGAGAGTTATGTCTCAAGGACGCAATAGTAACTGCAAGCACAGAACTCTGACATGCAGGGCAGGCACCGATGGGTAAGTGGTAGCAAGCTCGCCTACTTACCAGGCGGGCGGCCCGGATTCGATTCGGGAAAATGTTGTCCAACCAAGTTGGATTTCCCACTGTGTGGACCAAACTCAAATGGATCGCTGAATCCCGCCATAACTACCAACAACCAACGGCCGCCTTGTTGATGATCGTTTACCGACCACTAACGGAACTCACTTATTGCCAATACAAGCGAACATGTGAAGAAGAACTCACTTATCCCGTTCTGCCTTTGTCTTGGGCCTCATTCCTCGGGCCCTGACAGCAGTCGGATTTCGCGTTAGGCATGGAGGTGTGGACCAAACTGAAATGGATCGGTAAATTCCGCCATAACAACCAACGACTGTCTCGCTGATGAATGTTCACTGACCGCTAAAGGAACTCACTTATCCTGCTCCGCCTTTGGTTTGGGCCCAATTTCTCGGGCCCTGACAGCAGTCGTAGCAGCTAGTAGTTTATGCAGAAAGTAATGCCGATAAAGACAAGGGAGACTGGAATGGCCATTGTTGGCTTATTAGCCGTCGTCAGTCAGTCCTACCGAGACCCAAGTGGCGTCCACCCGAGCCTAGAACTCGCAATCTTTTGATCAAAGTCTAACGCCCTAACCATTGAGTTACGAGTTCATTGTTTTGCCGGTTTAAGTCGGGAGATGATAGGACGTTCATCTTTGATGAACGTTCCCCGACCGCTAACGAAACTCACTTGTCCCGCTCCGCCTTCCTCTTGGGTCTCATGTCCCGGACTCTGACAGCAACGGTAGCGGCTAGAAGTTTGGGCAGATAGTATTGCCAGCAAAGAGAAGGGAGACTGGATTAGTAGCCATCGTAAGCGGTCTGCTTTGTTGACGGACAATGACACTATATGGCATACAACCAAACGTCATCGTCATGACCAAGGCCTACTATCGCTCTACCCTTGCGCGAGCTCTACTCCTTAATAAGTTGTCTAAATCGTTCGCTATCCGGCCTGGCGTTTGATAAGTTCTTACCTTGGAGCCCATTCTATTTAACTAGGCCATTGATTGAATTGCAGTGGGTAATTGTACACTGATCTATTTCAGGATGTACCCATCCTGGTTGATGCCTTTGCGAATCTTGGTACCCTCAGTGTATATGTTGCAAGGCGAAAGCAAAGGCATCAAACAGGATGGGTACATCCTGAAACAGATCAGTGTACAATTACCTACACTATCTATACTCCCGATCACAAACCAAGAAGACAGCGGACTCGTGGCTCAATAGTTAGGGCGTTTGCCTGTAGCCGGTGAGATGCGAGTTCAACAATCGAGTGTTGCGGCAATTTCCTCTGCTACACCCGAGTTGGGTATTAGTACCTGATGACGGCAAATAAGCCAGGAATGGCCTTCGTGGATGTGTCTCTTTTTTGGCGGTAATACATAAGACAAATCTGGAAGGCCCTATGTGAAGAGGACGGTGTTGAGCTTGCACCCGGACACCGGCCGATTGATCTCCACTGCGCCGATGATATCGCCTTACTACCTCTAAGTTTTGGTGATCTACAGTCTATGGTGTCATGGATGAACGAGGGCGCTAACTTGGTCAGTTTGTCCATAAACGCCATGAGGACCGAAGTGTTGTTGTGCTGCATCCCTGCCCAAGAGAAGGCAACCCTCGAGATTAGTGGCTGTTAGCTTGAAGAAGTAAACGATTTCAAATACCTCAGGTCGAAGTTGCTGTCGAATGGACATAGTAAGGATAAAATGGTCTCTCGTATCAATATCGCTTGCCGAGTTTGCTCAAGCCTTAGAATGTGCCTATGGACCCGACGCGATATGTCCATTGCCGCGGATGTTCGCGTGTACCGTGCATATGTGCGGTCTGTTCTTCTATACGGCTGCAAATGCTGGGCTATGCGCGTAAAAGACGAACAAGAAGCATAGGTATCCGACCACTACTGTTAGGATACCATTCTTTGAGTGAATTACGCCGACTTCATTTCAAAGGAGACAGTCGGCACGCGCTGCAATTACATCGCAAGGATATCCCAGGTTATCCAAGAAAAACCTCACGAGCTCGGCGTGACTGCCCTCGACCCAACACCGTTACCCAATTGGAACCGTCGAATAGGGGATCAGCTCAAAAGGTTGTTCGACTGAGTCCGTCAAGGCATGGAAGTAGTTTTTGGACCATCGGTATTCAGCCTCCGGCGTTGGCGGAGAGGAAGGCGAATGAAAGTAGTGTCCAGCGATCGAGTCGTCTTCTTCTCAATGGATAGAACTGTCCAAGTCTGATGCCACGGATGGTCACGCGTAGAGAAGTACCACCCGAGACATAATCGTG